GACATCAAGCACCATACAGAATGAACTCTTGGACTGCATGTATGATGTGTACAGGGAGGAAATAGCCAAGCAAGTGGACAACACATCATTTGTTGCCGTTCAGGCCGACGAGACAACCGATGTCTCCTGTAAATCGCAAATGGTGATTGTGCTGCGATACATTATGCCTGACCTCACAGTTACAGAGCGTTTTTTGGAGTTTGTGGAAGTAAAGGACAACACTGGTGTAGGTCTCTCTAACAGCATCAAGGCTGTTCTGGAACCCCTGAAGCTGAAAGAAAAGCTAATCGCTCAGACCTATGACGGGGCGGCCGTCATGAGCGGTAACGTGCGCGGGGTACAGACGGTGATGAAGGAGACGTACCCAAACGCTCAGTTTGTTCACTGCTACGCCCACCAACTGAACCTGACCCTGCAGCAACTGTGTTCAGCAAGGATGAGCATCCTGAAGGTGTTTTTTGCAGATCTAACTGCTTTTTCCACTTTTTTCTCCGGTGCTCCAAAACGTGTTGCAGCTCTTGCAGAGGCAACACAGAGACGCATCCCACGGCCACCGGCTGTGAGATGGAACTTTAAAAGCAGAACTGTGAACGCGGTTTGGGAGACCCGAGATGCACTACTTCAGTGTATGAAGCATATACGCGCACAACCAGGATGGGATGCGGTCACCATAAGTGAGGCATACGGCCTGTCAAAGAAACTGCGGGACCGAGCATTTATGCAGCTTCTGGAGTTTTTTTCGTTGCTTATGCCAGAAGTGGATGTTCTATACAACACTCTGCAAAAACGAAGCATCGATGCACCTGGGATCAACAGCGCGCTCTGCCGTTTCAAGGAAAATGTTCAGAAAATGAGGCAGAAAACTGATGCATTGGAACATCATGATGGAACAGACGAGCCAGGCCGACGAGTCAGCAGCACAGCGCCGGTGATGAAGGAGGCTTGTGACACAGTCATCTCACAGGTGGAACAGAGGTTCTCACAGTGACCATTTGATCGCTGCAAAGCTTGTTGACAGCTCATTCTTCCCACAGCATGTCCTGTCATTTCCTACACCTGAGCTTGACTGCGCCGTGAAACTGTGGCCTGCGTTGGGAAACAAGGAGAAGTTGAAGTCTGAGCTGACCACGCTCTACCGCCACAGTGAGCTTCACACTGGAAACACTGCCCTGTCTCTGTTGAAATCCATTCACGAGAACAACTTGGAGGAAACGTTTGCTGAGACTGTTATTTTGGTCAAAATAATAGTGACAACTCCGATGACGACATCCGAGTCAGAGAGGAACTTGTCCACCCTCAAAAGGATAAAGACTTTCACTCGCAACACCATGGGACAGCCGCGACTTAACGCATTGGCCATGCTTTCAATTGAAAGCCAGTTGATCCAGCAACTACAGGACTTCATCCCCAAAGTGATAGACACATTCTGTCAGAGGAAGGACCGCCGTGCCGCTTTTCTTTTCAAGTGAGCCTTCAGCTTTGGTAAGTTCATTTATGTCATATATTTTGTTGATCTTCTGTGTTTTGCCTCTGCTGGATCGATTGATATTGTGACCTCGATGATGAGTGTCTGTGTTTTCCTTATATTTACAGTCTATGGTGTTTTAATGCTAAAGCATTACGGTTGTTGTTATTGTTAAGAATTACTTTGTGATGGTGACCTTTACTCCATGTATGAAGGTGTATTACTATGACATCCCCATGCTGTGTACGTAAATGTATGCGCTCACAGTGTTGCTCCTGTGGTCTTCAGTATGTAATTTGACACTCCCCCTCTCTCTCTCCTCCCCCCCTCTCTCTGTCCCCCCTCTCTCTCTCCTCCCTCTCTCTGTCCCCCCCCCTCTCTCTCTCTCTCTCTCTCCCGACCTCTTTCTGCCCCCCCAGTTTTGTACACCTAGAAACGCCACTGCCACCATCAGAGATTGCAAACATTTCAGAAACAGCTAGAGGTAGGGGACAAACAACTTGTTCGCTGGGCATGTCAAAAACCTCCCTGCTTTGATCAAGACTTTAGTGAGCCTTTCAGCCCCTCTAGCAAAGGGACTGGAAAGCAAGCTTTGAAAATTCAGTACCATCTGCATGCTGTCATGTTCCAGACACTGCTCTCAACCACTCAGGGCCTGCACAAAGAAACAATTGACTTGGTGCAGGCAGTAGATTACAAAACAGCAGTTGAAAACACACTGAAAAGTTACCGAAGTAACGAGAAAGCACATGAGGTCTATGACAAGACCAAGGCCCTGTGCAATGATCTTGATATTCCCGAAACTGTGACACAGAGGAAGAAGCGTAGAAACATGGAAGACTTTGTAGTCAAGGCATCATGTGGAGCAATGTGAAACATTAAACATAAATAAACTGGTGTACAAAACTCACATACCTGCATTTCAATGGACAGCATAAAAGGACTCGTGAGCTGGGTTCTGGTGCTCAGATTAGCTATTGATGATCACGTTGATAAATCATATAAAACAAATAGCCAATCACACTAAAACATGTTGCTGTGACTGTGAGCATTAAACAATTAACATTAAACGAAACAAACACAACAGTACGTTATTGTCCTTATAAAATAAAAACATACATTTTGTCCACCGAGATAATACAGGCACCTTACCCTCAAGAGATCCTCACGTGCTATGAGAATCTCCCACAATCCATTGCCGTAACAAAGCTAATGCAGGCACACGTTTGTGACACCAGATGGCGCAATTGTGTATGTGCGTGTGGGGAGTCTTGCAGTAGAACATTTGACTGTAGCGCCGCCACTGTGGGCTAAGCCCCGAATGTTTCCAGGTCCAGGCGACGCCCCTGGCTGTTACCATTGTGAAAATGCTGGTGTGTTGTGTAGTTTACGGTTGTTCCAATCGATCCGGCCGAGAGAAAAACAAGAGGTTTTACCGAGTGCCGAAGGTTGTCGTCCATAAAGCTGAGCAATTTAAGAAGCTAACCGAAGAACGCCGGAACAAATGGCTTTCAAACCTACATCTGCGGTCGGGAGGAGCAGAGTCGTCTAATGCACGGGTCTGCAGCGACCACTTCATCAGAGGTATTAGCTAACTTGGTTTTTGTGGCTTTGTTTAGGTATTATTGGGTTGTGGTTAAATGCGTATTTACTTAGTAATACTGATCATGTTTAAGTTACCTGTAGTCTAATATGGACTTTGTTGGGACTTTTTAGGGTGCCCTAGCGCTTTGGGTGACGTTGAGTCGGTAGACTGGGCTCCCACTGTTAGCCTCGGTTACCACACAACAAGTAAGCCCAGATCAGAGGCATCTCTTCGACGAGAGCAGAGGATGGAGCTCAAGGAAGACCAACAAAGACAATCAGAATGTGCAGAGGCTTTGTTGGATCTCCTGCAGACAACCGAGAGCCCAGAACCGACGCAGCCCCCGTCTGACAGCCCACAACCAGAGGACACCAGTGGGATATTAAATGACCAACAAGGTAAATTAACCACCAGAATTATTATTAAATATTACAAATGTGATTGTCAGAAAATCAATGCAAACTTTGAATTAGGTTTAGAAAATAGAGCACTAATTTGAGAATCTGCAATAATTGGAACAGAGAACTTGCATGTCTGTAAAAAGGTTGTCAAAAAGATAACTTCACAAAAATTCACATTCATATTTGACTATTTTAAATAACTAATTATGCTTGCTACTGCTATATTGTATGCAGATGCAGGATGCCAGACTGATTTAACGATGGAGGACATCGAGAGGATGGAGGATGTTCTGAGACAGAACACAACAGAGCTGGGAGATCTTCGGACAAAGGCACTGGACACAAAGTTCAACCAGGAGTCCTTTGAGAACAACGAAGAGAAAACAAAGTTTTACACCGGGCTCCCCAACTTCTTAGTTTTACTTCAGGTTTTTCAACTGTGCGAGCCCTACATCACCTGTGGCCCTATGTCTGTGCTCTCCAAATTTGAACAGTTCATTTTAGTTTTGCTGAGGCTGAGACTAAATCTCCCTCTGAAAGATTTGGCTTTCAGGTTCAACATCTCTCTCTCCACTGCTTCTAGAATTTGGCATAAGTTAATTGACATACTTCACAAGAGTACAGAATTTATAATTGAGTGGCCAGAGCGATATGTACTTCAAGCTACAATGCCAATGGGATTCAGACAGGCATTTGGATGTAGAGTTGCTGTGATTGTTGACTGTTTTGAAGTTTTTATTGAGAGGCCCTCTAATTTACTAGCTAGAGCACAAACATGGTCCAACTACAAGCATCACCATACTGTTAAATTTCTGATTGGTGTTGCTCCCCAAGGCTATGTTACCTACATATCTTGTGCCTGGGGAGGAAGAGTTAGTGATAAACAGATCACAATAGAGAGTGGGCTCCTAAAAAACCTGTTACCTGGAGATATTGTCCTAGCAGACCGTGGGTTCGATATTGCCGATAGTGTGGGATTTTACTGTGCTTCACTAAAGATGCCTGCATTCACCAGGGGGAAAAGTCAGCTGTCAGCATACGAGGTGGAAGAGACAAGAAAAATAGCTAATGTGCGTATTCATGTTGAAAGAGTCATAGGATTAGTCAGAAGAAAATATCAGATTCTGCAAAGCAGGGCTGTGCCCATAGAGCACATGCTAACAAAACCAGGTGAGGCACTAGCATTAATTGACAAGATTGGGGTTATTTGCTGTGCCTTGTCTAATCTGTCAGTGTCTGTCATCCCATTGGAGTAAAGTCATGGAGCTGTAGTCTTGTAAATAAGAAACCATGTATTATTCAGTATCATTTAATCTTTTCACTAAACATCTTTTTGTGTTCAAACATCTTGTGTTCAAGTCTTTTCAGTAAACATCTTTTTGTGTTGAAAATTGTGTAGCCCTACTCAATATACAACTTTCATCTACATTCAGGCTTAATTCATTCAACAATATTCTAGAGATGACAATTGGTCTGGTGACGCTCCCATGTATGGCCATTGAGGGTTATTGTAAATGTAAATAAGAAACCATGTATTATTCAGTCTTAGTATCATTTAATCTTTTCAGTAAACATATTTTTTACAATAGCAATATATCACACAGCCCTACTTCCTCTAGTGAGTGTGGTCAGTGAATATGAAGGTGCTGTAATGCAGGTTAAAGAGCTGCCACTGTGCAAATATTACGTTCCCTTGTAAATATAGGGGTACAAAGGGAAGTAGCGACACACAACATAACCGGCCGAGAGAAAAAGGAGAGGAAACTGATCTCTGACGCCATAAAGTGGTCTTTTAATTAACACAACGAAAAAGGGCTCACCAGCCAACTTGTCAAACAAAGCTTAAGATAAGGGGAGAGCGACTGCAACCTTCCTCATGTCCTATATGGAGGCGCTGATTGGAGATTGGGAGCACCTGGGGAGATCAGAGGGAGAGAGAAAAAGACACCCACACACACCCAAACACCAGCACCCACTACGGCACGTAATAATAATGCAACAAGGAGAGAACCACAACTTCCGGGACCAGGACAGACCACAGGTGCTGGTAATCACGCCTTCTCTCCCTCCTGATCATCTTGCAACTGAAACTGAAAAATGGAACAGCAGACAGGGAGAGGAGGCTTTTAGTCACTTGATAGTTATGCACTAACATGTTCTTGTGGAAAAAAATGAGCACACCAACTCTTTATGACTTTTACCTTTCCCCTTGTAAGTTGCTGTCCCAACACTTCAGGGAGAACACATAGTCTGAAGAAACGCTCAACTCTGGGAATGATGTTGTCCCACAGGTCCACATCACGCACAATTCTCTCTACAAAGAGGTCATTTTTAGTCCAGACAACAAAGTCGCAGTAGTCAACATCAACGAGGTGGAGCTGAGCCTGTATTTGATGGTAGTAGGCATGTCTCCTGTCCAGCTTCACAGTGCCCCCATCGTTGACGAGACAGAAGCCCTGTTCTCCAGCACACAGGCGAAGATTGGCCTCCTCTTGTTTGCTGTGTGGGCACTAAAAGTTCAATGAAAAGAAAAGTAATATATTGTACTATAAATAAGTGTCTGCAGCTCAAAATGTATTGGGAGAGGATCCCCAGACTCAGGATCACGTCACAATCCTATACTTACCCGCTTTACTGTAGCACAATACTGAACAAATAACTTACCTTTATCTCACAGATACCAGTTCCATGGCAGGTGCACGTGACACATCCGTCTGGCGACGCTCCCATGTATGGCCATTGAGGGTTCAGCCAAAGCCCGCTGTCTTTACAGCTGAAACCCTGGTGGTGCAGACTTTGTACTCCTTCATACTGCTTTCGGGCAGTTGCCTCGTATTTGCATCCATACACACACACACACACACACACACACACACACACACACACACACACACACACACACACACACACACACACACACACACACACACACACACACACACACACACACACACACACACACACACACACACACACACACACACACACTCTGTATTTTTATGCATTGAATATTTTGTGAATCATGTTTTGTAATGATAATGAATTTAGTTATAAGTTACTTGTACTGTAACTTACTGATATACGTGATATAATCAGCGTATACCACGGGTAGAATTGTAAGTTACTTTTCACAACAAGTCGGTATCCCTCCGCGTCTGAGAAAAACTGTATACAGTTTGCTTTTCTGATTGGCTCCCTAATCCCTAATAAATACCTTGTTGCAGCTGTAGAGAACTTGTATGCCTCTGGGTAGCATATGGACTTGATCAAGGACTTTGATGGCTGTGCAAGACTAGTCTGTAGAACCTGCTTCAGTCTTGAGGCTGTGATCCTTCCTGCTCTTTGGCTAAACCATATTGCTGATAAGCTCTGGTTTCTGGTCTCCTCCTCTACTGCCTGGACCTGTGGCTGTGTCAGCTCTTCCTGTCTGAAGTCCTGGCATGCATTCTGCAACTCTGTTGGGGATAGCTGTAGCATCTCTGGTGTCCTACACTGAGGTAGTGGTTTAGGTAGCTTGCTCACAGATTTAGGGACAAATTCTCTGTAATATGGTTCCCTGGACATCAGTGCAGCACTTCTTGGGGAATTTCTGCTCAAAGTCTTGAAAAACTGCATATACCTCTCTGATCCTCGCTCCAATTTTGAACCCTGGACTGTGGGACGCTGAAATGTGTGCTTCTCACCTGTCCTTCCAGCAATGGCATCATCCAGTTTTTGCTTTTTGGATTTTGCGTATGAAAAGTCTATCATCGCAACTGGAGCAGCAGGAATCTGCACATGTGAGAGACAGACCAACATGTATGTGAACATACATGTAGGTGCAGTGTAACAATGAGACATGCAAGGACGGCATGAACAGCTGACTGACCACTGGGGTCTGAATACCTTTTTGACATGTGATGGCATTAGCCACTTGCACTTCTCAGTGGTGCAGGATGCAGTCTCTCTCATCTTCACACCTGCTTCGATTGCAAACATAACTGCTCCAACATGTGAGCAGGATTCTGACAAACTGTATAGACAGAGACATACTAGAATAACTAGATTGATCGTAAAAGCTAGTAATGGTATAACATGAATATTATAGCAGGCATTATTTTGTCTGAGCTTAAGTGTTGTGTCAAATATGCTTTGGGTTGGGATATTTATTTTATGACTTACCCAGCCATACAGTTACAGTGTGCTGTAACAACCTCTCCATCTTCTTTAGCTACAATCCACGTTTTTAAATGGTGTTTCTCCAGACCTCTGGGAATGGTTGACCTACACAATTGAAGCTCCAGTTCACAACTTGCGAGTTGGTAACATACATTTAACAACATCACAAGCAACACATAACCAGATGGTCTTGGTAAAGAGGTTGTTTTTAATATTAACCTCAACATAGAGTGATATAAACAACGTGCAGGCTGTTCAAAGGCTCTGAGCTGTCTATACACACAAAACACAATATATCCTAAGCTAAACACATAACAAACATACACATATATACACACACAACACACTCACAGGCCAGTTAATGCTGAAGGCAAGGCGACAGCCGTAACACTGCCTTACATGAGTCCATGTAGCTAAAGTTAGCTAGCTAGATGTCTCCTAATAATGCTACTTAGAGGTAAGAAGGTATAGGTAGTTAACACTCACCCGGGCAAAAACAAGGCGACATTTGTTTAATGCCTCTTTGGTGCCGAGGTCATACACCCATCCACACACGAAGTAGTTGAAAGCTTCTAGGCTTTTATACGCTTTCATCTGGCTAGCCGTGTAGTAGGAGGTATGAAGGACGAGGTAGCTGGTGATATCCATCGCCTGGACAGCGGACAAATCGGATAAATCACGAGAAAAGTCGTTTTTTTTCAGCTGATACGGATCGTATCCGATGTGTGCTGTGATTTTTTTCACGATATCTGCGGCGTGCAGGTTCATTTAATTGTTGACATAGTCGGTGTCCTCCATGATTCCTGCGTTGATGAATGATTGCGTTTTCACTTCCTGACCTCCACTTGAATTTTGCGCGTCATAGAAGTCACGTGACTGAAACCAAGCTATCTACGGCACAACACCGTTGGTCCCGTGCATTGTACCCGCGCAAAGTCACGGAGAGAGATTAATGAGGCAGTAGAAGGAGGCGATACCATACAAGAAAGTGGTAAATTGGGTTTATAAATGTCAAAGTAGTTGACGTTAGTGTGCTAACTTCACACTCTAGATATGTGAACTATCCTGACAAACTACCACTAACTTTATTAGCTATGTTAAATAACCGATATGCATGTTAAGTTAACATGCATATCGGTAAGGTTAACATTGTTAACCTTTCCTACCAGCAAAGCTAACGACGTATAGCCATAGACACGGTCTTAGGAAAAAGCTAATATAACAACTAAAGTTATCCTTACTGGAGCAGCAGGGCTAGCGGTTCATAGAAGGTTCCTTGGTAGCTCAAACAGAATGCTAGCTAATATGCTTAGTTTGAATCTTCTCCTTAATGAGACCCGCAGGATCGCGGCCGACTTTACTGTCTTTAAGCGGCTGTACCGGGCTCGGTTTTGAAGCTGGTAATGATGATATCATATGAAAGTAGATGACCTAATGGCATACAATGGTACCAACCACGTGATGCTAACTTGTCGGCAATGCGGCTAAAAAACATTCTACATTTTGGAGGGAAAAACTGACATGGCAATTTCCACAGGGATTTCCTTGACCTCTAACTTCAAGATACCTGTATGCAAATACAGGTATTTTTTACATGCAGTATAATGTGTTAATTACGCCTTTTCATAATGGTGTATTTCAATATTTCTGCATATTGGGGGCCCTATACAGTCTTGGAATTGCATTAATTGGGTTAGACTGTAAAGCGGAGACTCTTGTGGATCCAATGAGCTCAATTGTATTAATGTGTGATGATGTTAGTCCCCATAGTAGTCATTTCATAGTGAGACCATGTTTTGAAACTTGACATCAATGTATAAAATGAGATGTTGTGACATCTAGGATAATCACAGCCTCATGAAACTGTTCAACCACAAACTAGAGACATTTAGAGAATGTGTAGCTTTCCTAGGTATATTGACAATAAGGGGGTTTCTGAGCAGTTCCAGAACAGAAGTACTCAAACATGTGAAACGTTTTTCATACCAAATCATCGCCTTAGCCTTCTGACATGTATTCCTAATTTGTCATGTCCTATTTTGCAGCTGGTAACGTGGAAAGTAGTATGCCTGTCAAGCAGCATATTGCATGGAGAAAGAAGGCTGAGATGCTCCAGTCTCGGGTGGATGAGCTAGAGGAGGAAAATGGCATACTCAAGCAGCAGCTTGAGGACAATAACTCTATACAAGAGCAAGGTTTGTACAGGTGGAGCAAAGTTTTACATTAGGGCTCTCCAGAACCTGTGTGGCTTCAAAAATAATTATGGCGCAGTATACCACAACAGTATTTCAGCTATTATTGAATATTATTGCCAGCCTTTCAATATTATTTTTTCTCAAGTAACTATTTTTAATTTGGCCTTATATTTTTACATTTAGTGCATGTAGATATTTAGCTGGACAATGTGTAGGGTCACTAATGGCGTGTGTTCATATAGCGTTTTTCACTGAAAGAAAACTGCTGGCAGGGCACTTGGGAACACTTCATCAAAGTGCTACCACTGCACATGGGTTTGTTTTTATGACAGTATCTTGACAGCATATCATCGCCCCTTTGCTTTTACCTATTTGGGCTACTATCAATTGCATTTAAAACTGTATAGCCTCCTATTGGCTGCTGCTTTATGTGCATCTTTTGAATTGCAAACAAAAATGGCTGCCAAGTCATCTATTTTTTTATTTATTCATTTATTTATCAGGGACAGTGCACATTGATAAACATTACTGTAAATATGCCAGAGTTAGCCAAGAGGCTATTTTTCATCCGTAGTCCCTGGACATGTACTTTCTACATTTATAGGTCTCTGCTCAGTGTTATACAAAGAGGTTTGTAGTTTGTTCTTGATATTCAGGCAGAGTACTGCAAATGTATTTTGCGTTATAAATCAAACTCTTGAAATGTTCAACAAAAATATTAAAAACAATTTAACAGAGAAAATAAAAATTCCCAGGGAATTCATGTCTCTTATTTGGGCTATAATATTTACAATATTTCAGCTATTGTTGTCATTTTTAAGGAATTCCTTTAGGAATTTAATTAACTTCACTTGTGTATAGGCTGTTGACTGCTGCCTTGTCATAGCATATTGGCTCTCCATTTAAAGATGAATTGGCTTAGACCACATGAGCACTAATTGATTGGAATTTATTGAAATACACTAATAGTGATAGAAACATTCTACACAATGCAGTTTGAAAGTAGCAGACTAATGCATTTTCTCATACACAACTCCTTTTTGTATATATAAAACATAAAACATCCCATCTAAAGTTTTGTGCACATTATTTGTACTTCTGCAATGTTTCTTCATACCCAATCTAACCTCCACCGCATCAATTAGTATGCAATTCAGTTCATGTACAACCTCAAACCACCTTAGGTTATCAGTTGCTCAAGCTCAGTCACACCAATGTAATTCTGTAATGTTGTATATTGTGATAAAAGCAGACTCCTCTGGGCTTTAGGCAAATCCTTTGTGGGGACTCAACTTAAAGTTTATTTCTGTTTGTCATTTATCGTTCATCAACAGATGGGAACTTGGAAGTAATGGCCACTGGAGATAAGGAGCCGCAGGCCATGAGGTTGGACCAGGGCTCGCAATTAACAATGTCCCGATGTCCCGGGGACCATACAAATTCCTACTGGGACACAAATCTATTTTGTCTGGGATTATTTTGGGACACTGGAAAAAAAATTAAAAGTAAACTTCAAAATGGGTGTTATTTGCAAAGTCATTGGGCTGTCAAATCATAGAATGCATTCTACGTCATCCACTCTGCTGCTGACTGCTGCTAGACTCGCGCCAATGCAACGGTCACGACAGTTAAAAAAAAGTAGAAAGAAATGCTGAGATGGTTGAATAAACAGCCCCCTGATGCAAGCCCCAATTCTGCCGACTCCCGAAACGAAAACATCCCAAGTCCTGGTCATGATGCATCGTCTTCCACTGTGGTAAGTTAGTTGTCTTAAGTGTCAATGTTAGCTAGCGCTAACTAACGCTAGCAACTGAAGTGTGCCTTACAATGCGTACAAACGTCCTAAAATGCGGTGTCATGTTCTTTTGAAGTTTGTGAAAATGATGTGAAATACAGTTGATCAGAATAAGAGGTGTTGCCGATCATTTTTGTATTTTCTTTGTCAGCCAGTCAGTGACCAGGCTAGAATCTTTAGCTGCAAAAACGTAAGGCATTTAGCTAATCATTTAGCTTTTCATCTTTTTTTAGTGTTTTAGTTTTTTTGGGTCAAGAACGTCTGTCAGATTGGGTGACGATTAGAAAAGGGGTCGCAAGGTAATTTTAGTTTGTCAATCACAGGGCTCGACATTAACGATGGCCCGGGGCCATCTAGTATTTAGCTCGGGCAATGAAGCCTCACCTGCTGGTTGCCTGATCGGGCAATCTATTATGCCAGTATCATTTGTCCGCTCACCGCTGCATGTGACTATGCAGAGCTGCGTGTCGAGTCTCGACTAGTCAGCAGCAGCTGATCTCTCTCTCCCGTCAGATTAGACTTCACACGCGTTTATGTCCATATCGATCAGATCCAGCTATTTCTAGCTAATGATATGACTACCTGCTTATTAAAAGACACCTAAACAATAAGCGTCGTCGCTATGCAACCGGGTGAGGCCGCAAAGTATAGCGCAGCATTATGCCTTTGTTTACATGCCCACCGGAACCCCGAGGCATTACCAACAGATCAACGCACAATCAACCCATCCAGGACATCTCTTTCTCCACATTACGTGTTAGACATTAGAATGGACTATTCTTGTCTGTCACATACTCTTCTGGTCTGTCACAGACTATTCTGTCTGTCACATACTCTTCTTGTCTGTCACATAAGTGGCGCAACTGAAGCGGTATTGCACTAAAGGGAAATTATTTTGACCGAAGAGATTTAGATTTGCAGGCTAACGGGAACTCTGACGTCGCCATTTTGTGTGCTTCGCGGATGCGCTCGGCTCCTCTCGACTGCTGCTCGGGTCTGCTCGGTCAGCTTCCGGATTCGTTCAACCAACTTACAGTAGATAACATTACAAACATTTTTAACAGGGGCCATAATAGTGTAAATAACGTTTGTTTTGCCAGTTATAACTGAATGTAATGTTTTCTACTTTTTTACATCTGGGAAGGCATTTGCCTTCATCAGATGGAAAGTGTCGAGTGAATGAGTGAGAGCAAGATGATTGACATTCATGAATGAAAATAGAAGATCAATTTATATTCCTATAGTACTACTGACTTGTGAGGATAACTTGTAATTAGAACTGAAAACAGATACATTTATTAAACTGTATTATGGAACTTCTGTTTTTTTATTATCATTCATACCACTTTTATTGCCAGATAGAGGGTTCCGATCATAAAACACAGAGACCATACAGCCATACCATATTGAATTGAAAAATACAAATCAGAATTCTTCAATGTTGACATGACAATGATAAATTAGTCTGGATATTGAGAAACAATAGAAAAACATGTCTTAAAACAACTCTATTCCCTTCTACTCTAGGAGAGGCAACAGAT